AAGAGGGGTACCAACTCAAACACGACATGGCCATGTTAGTATCGCTGCTTGTGTTGCAACTGGCCCTCCAAGTTTGGTGAAGGGCTTCCTGATCGTTGGAATCAGGCGGAAGTGGGAAAGACGTTTCACCGCCTCCCCCCACTACCCCCGCCTAGGATGGTTGGTGAAGCAAACAAAAACTATTTGAATACCCCAAGATGGTTGGTAAAGCAAACACAAACCTGTTTGAATGCCCCCAACATGGTTGGTGAATCATATGTAAATCCCTATTTGAATCATGCCTGTTGGCAGGCCCCCGCTTCAAGCTACCCAACTCAACCAGATGGATCCATGGATTCTTCGGCTCCATGTTGCTTTGTGTGTATCTGAAAACGAACAAATCGACAGGCAAACAAGCAAACACGCAAACAGAAAAGGCAGCAAAAAACAGCCAGCAAGGAAGCAGGCAAACAAACACGCAATCAAACAACCAAGCACACAAACCAAAGAACAAACCAAAGAACAAACAATGAAACAAACAGACAACACAAACAAACAAACAAACAAACAAACAAACAAACAAAACAAACACACGAGCAAACAATCAAGCAATCAATCAATCAATCAATCAATCAATCAATCAATCAAACAAACAGCAAGCAAGTAAGCAAGCAAGCAAACAAACAAACAAACAAACAAACAAGCGAACAATCACGCAAGCAAACATTTGCCAAACAAAGAAGCAACCAAGCAGCGAAGCAACCAAACCATCACACAAACACAAGCAAACAAACAAACAATCAATCAATCAATCCATCAATCAATCAAAGGAGCAAGCAAGCAGCCAAACACGCAAACACGCAAACAAAATATGCAAACAAACAGGCAAACAAACAAACAGACAAACAATGGCACAAGCAGGCAAGCAATCAAGCAAGCAAGCAAATAACCAAACACATAAGCAAGCACAGGAACAAGCAAAATAACCATCTCGCCAGCAAACAAGCAATCACACAAGCAAGCAAATAAGCAAACAAACAAGCACACAAGCGATCGGACAAACAAAAGAAAGCAAACACACAAGGAAGCAAACAACACAAACAAACAAACAAGCAAGCTAACAGGCAAACAAACAACCAAACACAGAAGCAAGCAAGCCCACAAACAAACCAACAAGCAAACAAACACGCAGACTAACAAGCAAGCAAGCCAACAATCGAACAAACAAACCAGGACTCACAAACAAACTGGCAAGCAAACTTACAGTACTCAAACAAGTAAGCAAACGACCAAACACGCAAACCAAAAGACAATCAAGCAAACGAGCAAACAAGGAAGCGAGCAAGCAAACAAACAGCAAACAATTGCACGAACAAACAAACAAACAAAGAAGCAAACAAAACAAGCTATGCAAGACACGGACAGGCAAACAATCAATCAAGCCAACAAGCAAGCAAGCCAAACAAGCACGCAAGCAAACAACCAAGCAAACCAAACAAACACCGAACCAGGCAAACAAACAAGCAAACAAACAGACAGGCAAGCAAACAATCACTCGAATAAACAAACAAACAAGCAGGAAGTAAAGCAAGCAAAAAAACAATCAACCAAGCAGACAAACAAACAAGCAACACGAATCCACACAAGCGAGAAAACACTCAATCAAAGAAGCAGCCAAGCAAACTAACAGGCAGCAGCCAAGCAACCAGACAAACACAAAGCAAACAAACAATCAAACAATCAAAGAGCAAGCAAGCAAGCAAGCAAGGAAGCAAGCAAGCAAGCAAGCAAGCAAGCAAGCAAGCAAGCAAGCAAGCAAGCAAGCGATCAGCCAAGCAAACAATCAGCTAGGAGCTAGACAAACAAACAAGCAAGAAATAAACTGGTCGTGACACGATTGTTACAGCCGGGCGAGGCCTTTGTTGCAGAGTCTCTTCCAGTGCCTCTCACCCACTGGCACCGTGCTGGTCTGCTTCTCGTTGCACAGGCGGGCGAGACGAAAGGCCAGATCTCCGGGGACCTGTTTCTTTCGCAAATTTTAGAAATGGATCCCCCAAAATGGTGGTTGTCCTTTTGGTTCCCCTTTATATACATCCACGAAAACAAAGTACCCCAACAAAAGGCTTCAAAAGACCCATTTGTTTGACGCGAAGGCCTTAAATTAAGAAAGACGGGGCACTCAATGAAGGCCTGAACAAGGCTCTAAAGTTAGTGAGGCATTGGGAAGGGGAGGGGGTTTGGGGGCGGGGGGTGTACCCCATGAAATCGGAACAACAGTTGGTAGTTTTTCCAGACCCCTATTCAGCACCCAGGTCTCCTTTTGCAGAAGGACAGGTCGGGGGCAGTAGGGTTGGGAGACTTGGACCCTCTTTAAGATCAATGGGCTGCCATTCTTAGGTGGAAACCCATAGTGGGAAGCATGGCCGCCTTGAAACCCCTGGGATCGGAAAACACGGTACCTTTTCTGGCTGCCATGTTTTTCGTATGTTTTTGATTCCCCTTTTCGGGCGCCAAGTGATACATACTTGAGTTATTTATCCACGCCCCGTTTTCTTGGCAGCCCCTTTTTTCCAAGAGGGTTGATCCGAGACTTTGAAGGATGAACGAACAGAATCGGACGGTCAAATCATGGGGGGTTATGGGGAGGCGAGATATCCTTTATCAACCACTTAATACGGCATTCTTAAGGGCCCATCCTAGGCTTATCCTAGGCTTATCCAGGGAGTTATCCAGAGAGTCCATGATGCAGAGGTATTTGGCGTAGGTCCTTCCCACAGATCTCTGCGTTTTGCAAGGGCACCCCGGTTTTCAAGAAGGGAACAAGTCGAACATCGCCATTAGGGAGGTCGCCTTTTGACACGTTTGGCGTCCGGCCGGAGCTCCATGAGGACCGCCCCTGACTCAGCGATCCTGGGCTTCTTCGACCTCGCGAAAGACATGGGCTTCCAGGCGAATCGAGTCAAATGTCCGTGGCGAGTTATCACTTCGAGTTTGGTTTGAAGGTCATATACCACAACCACAGAAAGGGCATGTATGCTGCATCCAATGCGTTGGGAAGCGTCCAGAATTGCAAAACCCGTGGGAAATGCGTGAAAGCTGTGGAAATATAAAGTTGGGCGCCCAAACGAGGTCTTCTGCGCTCGGGGTCTCGCTTTGCCACCCTTTAAGGTGATCAATGGGCTTGTCTCGGCATGGCCGCCTTATAAAGCCCCAAGGGTCCATCCTGGCAACAAAGCGGTGAATATGGGTGTGTCATTTGTTTGCCAGGTACCGTTTTGCTGGGAAACCGACGACGGGAAAGCAATGTTTTTGGGCGTGCCCCAACCTAAACAAATTCAAGGATCGAGAGTTGTTAACGCTTGGCGTTGCCCGCATCGGCCCAGCCCAGCATGCAGCGTTTGTGACTCGAAAGCAAGCAACAGAGCTGGTCAAGTAACGATTCATAAGTGTGAGTCATGGAGCCAAGTGATGCAGTGGCGCTGCGTGCACGAGAATGAAATGGACAGGTTAGGGGATGTCAAGGGCCGAAGTTGCGCAGGAAGCCCTGAGAGGCAAGGCAGCATGGCGCGCAAGCCACGTTGGCCCGACGTTTGTCTTTAGTTTTCCAAGTGCCACTAACCACAGCGACAACAAGAACGACAACAAGCAAAGGTTGTGGAAACAGATCCGCAGCTTCTGTGACGCAACATGTTGGGTCACCACGTCTGCGCCCTGCCGACGGCCCAAACACTTTGCTCGGCTGGTGATAGTGGAAAAACTGGATTGATTAGGCCGATAGTTGGATTGGCTGGGGCGCAGCTTGACCAAGCTGTTGGCTGTGGCTTGGGCTGGGAGTTGGGGGCCTTGGTCCCATTTGGCTGGCGTACCTTTCCAGAGTTGCCATTTGTTTGCTTTCTTGCGCAAGCGATGTCAAACTAGCACTGTTCTTCTTCTTGCAATATCGTGCGGCTCGCCGAGTCCTTTGTTTGTGTCGTTGCGAGGAGAGATGCCGTCAACCGCGGGTGCCTATAGAGAACTATTTGGGTGTGTCTCGTTGCTTAAGGTGCTGCCTTCAGGGTTGCAACGGGAAAGCTAAGAAAAACCAAAGCGACACCAAAGAAACACCAAAGGGAAAACCTCGAATGTTAGTCGTTCCCCTTCTTTGAGACAGGTGGAGCACTTCGGCCGCAGCCTTGGTGGTGCCAGTCTGTCCTCGTTTCGTGGTGGCTGGAACCAAATTACAAGTTCAAAGTTTTCGAGCCCTTGGGTTGAACCAGTAGGACCAGTAGGACCACCTCTGAAATTGTAGCCAGAACCATGGAAGCCATCTTCAATGCATGTAAGCGTTTTGACTTGGCATGCTTCTTGCCATCTCTCCATGCATGTTGTTTTTGCGCAGCCGCGTGTTTTACTTAGGGCTTGCTGAAGGGAAGGATCCCAGAAGAGAATGAGGAAATGAGGAGATACGTGCAGAATTTTGCGGAGGGCAACATGTTCGTCATTTGATTGTTGGCACCATGAAGCCTCGCCGAAATCTAACGTCACTTGAGGGCACTGGTGTCCTTCTGCCAGTGACTCCGGAGCAACACTGGGTTTGGTTTTATCCCATTAACTTCCGGGGGGACGTTAATTTTCCCACTAGCCTACAAAAGGCTTAACTGGGCACGAGCTACATCGAATATGTGCTATTGTCGGATGGGAGGCCTGGTTGGATGCAATGTCCCGCTGCTCGAAAGATCCTTGGCCTATTCCCCACAGGTCCATCGTTGGAGTTTCCTTGGACTAGATGGCGAGCGGGGTGTTCCCACCAGTGACCAAAATGGGATACTCTCTGTCCGGGATTTGTTAAAGGGATCCCTTTATAGTGGTTCTCATGGCGTTAGGGACTAGGCTTGTCCAATAATTTTGAACTGCCCAGTTTGAGGCGCATGCACATATTATGCCAACCACACAAATTTGGTGGAAGCCGTTCTTGGAACATATGGCGCAATGGTCAAAACACTGTTTTGCCTGGGAATTGCTGGGGTTGCGTGATGTCCCCCGGTTAAGTTACACCGCATTCCTCGTTGAGCTCCACATTTGCCATGCGGAACGCTAGGAGGTTCGATTGGCCAATGCTTCACCACCAGACCCTTCTGAAATGAGCTGTTGCTTTCCTGAATTCGTTGTTTCGTTCGGATTCCGTCCCAGGTCCCGCTTCAGCCGCAAAAGCTGGGGCCCTTTGTTTTGTAAAACATGCAATCATTCCTGTGTCGTGCTCATGGACTTCTATGGCAACGAGAGCGGTACGCACACCCTGCAGGCGAGCGTCAGCTGCCGCCGCGCTGCAGCAACATGCCCTTGGAGCGGAGCTACGCTGGGCACTCGAAAGCCGTGGCACGAGGTTGGCTCGGGGGCCTCCAAACATGGCTGGATGTTTGGTGGGCCGGATGCAAGAGGACCTTTGGGATAATGGCCGTGCCCGCAACCTCCAAAAGGTTGGACCTATTGCTCAGGGGGGAAGGGCGACCCAGCCAAGGAGGGGTGTGCCCCTTAATTAGTTGTGTTGCGTTTTATTAGTGGCGCCCTGAAGCGTTTTTAACGGGGCGTGAAAAGGGCATCCCGCCGATGCAGGTGGATGAGAGATCTTGTGACAGTGGCAGTGCTCCCTTTCGACTTTTTGCTGGGTCCCAGATCAATGGCATTGTCGGGGGGGTTCTTTGGAGGTGTGAAGGTCATATGCTGCCTTAGTCCCCCTTTTACAAGCTGATTGCATGCTGTGCATCCACTGCATGAAACAAATTCAGTTCTTTGAGCACCAAAGGCATTGGCGAAAGGACCAGGTCCAGTCCCGACACTTTTCTTACCGGTGCCTTGTTCGGTTCGGAGTTTCCCCAGGACTGAGACGTAACGGTGGCCCAGCGCGGAAGCGGCAACCATCACCCGTCAGTTTCCATTTGCAGCACCCAAAGAGCGGGGGGAGGGGAGGGGCCCAAGGGGAAAACCAACTGGCTGCCTATGACAATTCTCACCATAGTCATGATTGATTGGTGCTGTGTCTTAACAGGGAGGTGGTGTGTTACTAACAGTACCCAAATGAAACCTGAGTTGTGCTGCGTGGTATGCTGCGTTCTTGATTGATTGCTGCTATGTTGCCATATGTTGAATGGTTTTTGAGACTGGGAATTCGGCTGCGTATTGGTTGCAGCAGGGCGTATGGCCCGTTTTCGTCTTAGGTCTATGCGAGAACGATGCAAAAGCTGCCATAGACGACCAGGCGCACAGCATGTAAGAAGTCGAAACATGTGACATGCCTGGCTGGGGCCACCCAAACAAATCTCAAGTCCAAATGGCCCAAAAGCGGTGTTTTGCCCACACAAGGAGAACTAGGATCCATGAAGGACGGTCATTCACCCCATGTTTACATCTATTTTGTTGGGGGGCAAGGGATCCGCCAAGGGCCCAAAAGTAACTTTAGGAAGCACGACACCTAGAAGACAACAAACTCTTTCTGCTGGGAAGTCAATTGGCATTGGATCCGTTGGCTTCCCCTCTTCCAGGATTCCTTTTTTCTTCCCTCAAGGGGTTTGAAACAGGAGATCTTGCAGAGGAATGGGACACCCGCGGAACACCTCCAAACCACACTGCGCTCCAAGAAAAGCAAGAGATCTGATTGTGAACTGGTTTGTGGAGAGCAACCCTATGGGATTCTCCATGGCCTCGAAATCAAAAGCGGTTCATGGTACACATCTTGCTTTTTCCGAGAACTCTTTTTGGGGTGGTTTGAAAGCAAAAGCACCATAAACATCACCATTTTGGGGCCCCTATTTTAAGACAATATGAGCAATACGACCTTGGCATTAGTATTTGACTCCGCGCTATCCTTGCTGCTTGCCTGGAGTCCGCGGTTGCTTCTTTTGAGGTTGGGTCCAGCGGGCGCATGCTCAACTATCCCCTCCCAAATCCGAGTGTTTGCTTTAGCATCAACAAATGGCATGAGGTGCGAAGGGCAGTCTGGACATGATCACCCCGTAGCTTGGCTCGAAATGTTGCGAACATGGATTGAGTTGTGTTGTTGTACTTGCACACATGGTACCCAGACGTAACATTCCTATTAATCTGGGTGTGGCTCAAAATTAAACGATCGGGGCAAACCGCAGGTTTTGGTAACCATGTTTCCACTTCCCAGGGCAACCCAGTTTGGAATTCCGTGTTTTTTTTGAGCCGCAGCTATATGGTTCCGGGAAAGGCATGGGCAGAGGTCTCAGGTTACCTGGAGGGTGCCCACCGAAGGTCAAGGATGGCCAGGCGTGGGTTCAGTCTCCTCACCGGATGTAGGATAGGCGAGGCCTTGAACAGACCTGATCCCTGTGATCTTTTTTTAAGGTTGGACTCCAAGAAATGGTACCTTTCCCTTTGGTTTCTCTTTAAAGCCACCCGAAATTTGGGGTACCTCAACAAACCGACCCACCCAAAAACCAAACAGAAGCCATCCCTGACACGAGGAGCCCCGAGCACGCCTTGCTCCGCGGAGATCCCGCGGATCCCTCCGAGCGAAAGGAAAGAACGCCCAGATCCGCGCGATCCTCCGAACCGCGCGATCCTCCGAACCCCGCGGGCGAGAAAAATGTTTCTCTCACCTCCGGCCTTTTTCTTGCCGCGATAGGTAGGGGACCGAGTCCGGGTGTTCATGAACCGGACGGGCATTCCCGAAGAAAGGAAACCGGATTGGGGATGGTTTCTTTTGGGGTGATTCCATGTCTGTCGAACCAGCAAGTTGTTTGGCGCCCAATTTGTCAGGGCCCAGTTTTCGCGTTGCCTCAAATGCGCCCAACACGCCAATCTCAAAATTTTGCTCGTTGGGCCTGGTTTTGCAGGGACAATTTATAGCACCCTCTCACCAAGTAACCTGGAACCTGCCAGGGGCCGGGACAGATCCCTGTAAATGGAACATGGTCTTCCAGGAATTGAACGTCAGGTGCCATGTGAAAAGGGTGGGAGGGCATGGGCTATAGAAACCGCTCTAGCCGTTTTGGTGGAGCCGTAAGCTGATGCTCACAATGGTGGATCCGATTCGCGATCCAAATGTGTATGAAGCAGTCCCACTCACCCATGCCTCAGTTGGACAATATTGGATTTATCTTCAGTACTCCCACCCCACCCGCGGGATTTCAATATGTCAATATGTGAAACGACTGCAGAACCAGACAAATCTGCCTCGATTTGACCGGTTGATTTCCCCAGTTCTAGTCAATGTGTTGATCAAACGCCTGAACCTGGTGCCTGTGTCTCCGGTTTGGGACAGGCGCCCTTCGCCTACATTGTAAGCCATGATTGCCCACTGGAAGACTGGGCTGTTCAAAGGTAATCAGCAAGATCCTTGCCTTTGGCTTCGCAAGGATGTTGGTCCCCCTTGGCTGTGGTTTTCCACAAAGGGGTTCTGGATTGGGATTGGCCAACCCTTTATTTTAAACAGCCCAGGAAGAGGTAAGAGACAGCCTTCGCAAAGGCCTTTCCTGCAAGCACTCACAGGCATGGAAGCAAATTCGGCAGAGCCATAGTAGTAGGGACCTGATACCTACCCTCCATATCTGACTTGTTCCCTAGCACAATGTAGGTGTGTCTGAAAGTCACCCCCTCCCCCCTCCCCCCTCCCCCCCCTCGCCCCCCTCCCCCCCCCAAGCGGTTGTCCCCCGAATTGTTTCCCCTGAAAGATTACTTGGCCGCTTTCGTTGTTCAAAGTCCGCCTGACCTTGACGGCCCGACGGCCCCGCGCGCGGCTTGAGGACTCTGAGTTGCCCAAAGCTGGCTTCGATGGTGTTGGTTTCAGAGTGGCCCTGGGTTTGTTCATGGTTCAGTCCAAAAAGGAGAACTTCTGCCTTTTTAGCACCAGGTCCTTTGAGCACGTGTTGTACCATGCCTGTGCAAAATGCAATGCCAAACCTTTGTGTCGGAGATTTGGCGGAGACGGAAATCAACCGGTAGTGGTGAAGACGCTGTATTGCAAAATATATTCTTAGTTCCGCTTTGTGAAACCACACCTCGAAAACGAGCCCTAAATCTTTCACGGGTCATTTTACTTCCTACGTGTCTTGTTTGGAATGCATTTTGCCCTAGCAGGTGACAATGCTTGTATGCCATGCTGAATTGTAGGCTGAACATGCTTGATTCACGTATCTCTCACTATGATTCAAGAGCGACCGTGTGCGACCAAACTCATACGGTGTCCTTTTTGGGTTCGATTTTCGATTTCAGGTTGCAACTCAACTCTTCTAATTAACACTAAGCGCCTTTGCTATTTTCCCAAAAGAACCACCAACTCAGGCAACCCTTAACTGGTGGCTTGGGAGCCCCTGCTTCTTTGCAGAGTGCAAATGGGAAGAACCACCGCCAACCACCAAAACACCAATCCAAACCAACAAACCACCAAACCAAGAATCCACCAATCCAATCCCAGTAAGGGCAACCTGAAACAGAGAGTTTCTTTCCAACCCCCTACTCAGATCAATTCTCAGGGAACCGATGACAATGTCAGAAGCGACGGAGCGATGGCCTGCGCCGGAGGAGCCACGTCCTTTTTTTGAGGCTACGTTTTGTTTTGTGTTTTTTGTGGTTGTTAGTAAAGGGAAGTCAAAAAAAGAGAGTGGATGGTTAAATAGAATGGGAATCAGAGCGCCGACGGTGGCAAGTGTTTTGCTTATTTCCCCGGAACCAGTTGTCACGTTTTGGTGGCCCCTACGCCGTGACTCACCTTTGAAGATTCTGGCCTTGTTTTACGTTTGGGCCGGCCATTTTAGTGGCAAATGCATTGTGCAGACTGGCCAATCCACTCAGGAAGTCAGTGAGGACAGACAACACAGGCCAAAGCGGCTGAACTGATTCGAAGTTGGTACTTTACAGGACACAAATTAAAACCGTTGTAACACATAAAAGGGTGCATGATTGGCGAGCAGGCGCGAATCATTGAAAATTGTTGATTGAAAAAGGGGTGAAAACGGAAAACGGGTCTGCTCGGGTCTTTGCCCAACCCATTTTGCCAGCTCCAGAAGTCATTTTCCCGAAGGCAGTTTGCGCGCGTTCCGTTTTCTAGTGCAACCCCTTTTTGGTGAGACGTGCGTTTTTCGCCAGACAAGGGAACTTGGCCGGGCTGACGATCAGGAGCTTTGGCCAGAGGTGCCACGCTGGGAGAAAGCCTATGAGGCCACCTCTGAATTCGACGAACACAGCTTCTTGACCACCTGGGTGTGCCTTTGGCTTAAAAGGGAAACCAAAAGTAACCGTTGAACATGCCAAGTTGTTGGTGTTGTTTTAAGGGGAAACCAAAAGGAGTCCAACCATTGGGGTACTGTACCCCTGTTTAAGACATTTTAAGAGACACCCATTCAGCAGCTTTAAGCCTTTAGCTAGTTGAGGAAATATCAACAGCCATCAACTTGTTTGGCGGAGGACGGCCACGTAAATACGCAATGGGTATATTTTTAGAGAAAGGATCTTGCATCGACTAAACTGTCTTTCTTGTTTTTGTCTAGCGCAAAAACGAAACTTTAGAGGAAAGCTGGGCCCGATTGAGCCATAGAGACGCTCGGTTTTTCTGGGTGCCAAACTTCAGCACCGTGATGTAATGGCCCCCCAAGAATGACCATGGACTCAGATGCCTGTTTCAGAGGTGTGGAGAGGCCTCGTGAAAAGGAGCCAGACATTGTGGCCCACACGTGGCCAGTCCCAAAGCAGGTCTGGTTTTGGGAAGACCAGCTTGGTCAACATGTGGCTGTTGCAACCTGTCCACCTTGAGCTTTTTGACCATAGGTCTAGTGCCGCATCCTTTGTTTTTCCTGGTGAGCGCTGGGAATCCCAGTTGATCGGCACCTCTTTCTCGACATGGAACCCTAGGGGCTGTGGCATCCCTGGAGAAGCCAAGGATAAGGGTAGGATAAGCCATGAAAAAGGCCTTAACAAGGGAGTTGCCTCGCTCCCCATAGCGCCCCGAAAAGTCCATGATGGCTGTTTCCGAAACCGCTCACACTGCATCCAAAAAAGGACCAGTGTCTGACCAGTGAAGCATCGAAGCTTTCCAAGGGTTGCTCAAAGCGGGCTCGTTTGTGGAAGCCGGAGCAACACCCCAATAGGCCGGTCAAGCTTGTCTGTGCAGATCCTGTGTCTTGGATGGCGAACCCCTCGCTTGGGAATGGGATCCCTTAGTTCAGGTTTTCGAAGTACTCTAGAAGCAGAAGTTTCCGTGCGTTGAGAAATCCAACCTGCACTTTGAACGCGGGATCTAGGAAAACACATTTTTGGGATCCCCAAAATACTCCGCCTCAAGGACATGTATTCGGGTGGAATAGGGCTTAAGCCCTGTGAAACGAAGGCGACCCCTTGCACCCTTCAATTTTGGAGATAGCTCGCATCCCATTTGGAGTGTGCTCGAGAGCCCTCTCGGCGTAGCCAAAATCAAAGCCTCTGAAGGGAGAGAACCACAGCCCTAGGTGCGGCGGTTTATGGGAATTCCTTCGTTACAGGTTTGGCTCAAAATTAAACCACCAGGGGACCCCCAAGGTGTAGTCCTTCCATATCCCAGGGTTCCATTTTGGGGTCAGCCTATTTTTAGCCCACAGCCAGATCACTTGAGTCCTTTGGTGTTGATTACTTGGTTGTGACTTATGTCCCTTTCTTTCTCTGGGGGAGATGCCAGGCTCTCGTGCAGAAGTTCCACTTGGTGGGGAGCTGAGGTCTACGGAAACCGCCTGTTCAACAACTCATATAAGTTAGTTATTTTCCTGATTTGCTGGGAACCGTCAAGCTGAGAGTCAACAGCAGAGAGCCACGAAGTGGCTTGCTTCTTGTTGATCTCCGCAGATTCATTGGCGTTGTTCCGTGTGTTGAAGGGGGGGATGCATTTGAACAGCAAGGGTTGGTGGGTGATCTGGCCTCACCATAAGGGCACCCAGATTGCGCCTACCATATGGAGCTAAATGCAGCTGCATAAAAATACGCATGCTGGGTGCGAGAAAGGCTGCATTTCAATGTTCTAAAAGGAAACTAACGGAAGATGGGTCTTGCGTACGTCATATGATGATGTACATACCTAGTGAGCTTTCTGGGTCTCCATGTTCTCTTAGTCCAGTGGCCTTTTGTTAGCGGCAACGAACCATATTTACCAAAACATGTGTGAGGTTCTTTGCAACCCTTCCAGCAGTCTTTGGTCAGTTCAGGAGAGGAACGAGCTATTGACGATCTCCAATTGTCCATACCGCAAGATAAGCACTGCCGGAACCACATGCATGGGTTGATGCATTCAACCTTTGATCGTGGCAACCGTGTTGAAGTCCACTTCTTGCATCCAACCACTTGTAGAGGAGTAAGCATGTTTATGCGTTCTGATGTGTCTGGATATATTGCCTCAATCCCATATTCATATCCTGCCTCGTTGCCCTTTGTGACACTGGTGGTAAACGGATTGTGGCAATCAGTTCCCACTGTGGGCTGGGTGCGAATGTGAGCGTGACTGTTTTGTTGTTGGCTTTGACTGCAGGTGAGCGAAGTTGTAATTCCAGTTTTTCGGACTC